GGGGTTATGAGACTTCTAAATTTTTACTCTTAGAAATTGAGCATCTTTAAATGACATGTTTAACATATTTTTGTTAGTTTTTATTATTCTCTCAATCTCAAAATCAGTATAAAGAATTTTGTATACTACTAGCCTACTTAGAAGGATATTTGGAAGTAAGCCTTCTTAATATGTGTGATTTATATAATTCAGAAAATAAGATATGTTACCTGCTACATATATAAAGATAATTTGATTGATGTAAAAACACATTACAATGATAGTACTATATATAAATTCATAGCTAGATTTATTTAGACTTTCGATGTACATAGGTCTAACGCATATACAAATTGTTGAAATCACTTAATGTAACTTTGTAGGTATAACATTTTGTGTGTTTTTCTTCTTCTTAATACTCTTGTTAGAATTCATGATTTCAAATTTACGTGCAGGGTGATGTTAAATTCACATATAACCAGCTTTTTCAAAAGAAGCCAACTCCAATGATATTGGAAAGCTTAATAGACCTGCGATCCTAAAGAAATATTCAACAAAGTGTGTCCTCCAATCCAAGATAAGGAGATGAACTTTAATGATACATCTAGGAGAATATGGAAGTTTAGAACATAAGAAAAACTGAGAAAATCACCTAATCTATACTACCTTAAAAGCATAAACTCCCAAACTTGAATGTTGAATTACTATAATACTCCCAATTAAAAATACTCAATTTATTTTATTTATTAGTTTAATTATTTGTATCATATTAAAATAGATGTTTTTTCACATTAAATGGTTATGATTTTTTCAAGGAGCTGTGACTTTTCCAAAAGGTTGCATCTTTTTTGATGGGTTGTGACATTTTCAATGAGTTGTCACTTTTCCAAAGGGTTGTGACTTTTCCGATGAGCAGTGACTTTTACGAAAGGTTGTAACTTTTCTGATAAGGCACAATTAGCACATATTCATACTTCTATTTGTTAGCTATAAATAGAGGAGTTTCTTCTCACTTTTAAACTACAGTTTTTTTAAGCTTTGTACTCTTCTTCTTCTTAAAAAATCTCAAGGGTTATTTGCAACAGTTGATTAAGTTCAAAATTCAATGAAATTTGAGATATCACATAAGAAAGAGTTGGTGAACAAATTATAGCAAATCATTCAACAATTCACACTCGTAGTTTTTCTTACAATTTTCATGAATTAACAATGACGAAAAGTTGTGGGAAAGACAATAATAATAAAAAAATATGAAAAAGTCACATGATTTGGGTATGCTATTTCTTCTTTCTTTTTAAATTTTTTATTCTTTTACCCACACGAAGTAGTTTCTTTCTAATTTTGGTAAAACAACGGGTATCAACATAGTCCATTGAATGATTAGTTTGGATATAAAATCCACTATTTCAAAAATAGATTTTATCTTTTACTTATATTATGATTTCAATGAAATGGAAAAATTACCTCTCTATATATGATAGTCTTACTCAAGTATTAATTGAGTAATAATATTTTGTAAAAGATAGATTGCGTATAAAGATAAAATATTAAAATATTTATGGTAATCCTTATTAGTGTCATGCACAAATTATATTTCAAGTATGAATATTTAAGAGAAAAAATGTACTTAAATGGTGTCCATCATTTATGTTCATAACCTCAAGAGGAAAGGCTATTGGTGACGTTTTTTAAAAAAATTTGTTGGTTAGATTTGCTTACAAAATTAAATGAAGTAAAAATACTACTAAAGAAAAGTCACTTTCTCCCCACATTTAAACTTTGAATGTATTTTGAAATATTTCAATGATATCTGGTCATTTTGATCTCAAAATACAAGTAATTGTATAACAATATGTATTAATTACTTAAAAACACTTGTCCTATGTTTTTCAATTATAATTATTTACTAAAAAGCTTTAATTTAGTAATGTTAATTCTATTTTACAACATTGTATAGTATATATACAATACACACGTGACGTGAAACTAGTTCCTATAAATTAGACTCTAAATGTGTCACACCCCGAGCCTACACCGTGGACGTGGCCGGCACTTGAGAACCATTTATGATCCCCAAGCAAACCCTTGACCTGGTTGACTATTTAGTGGAATACCTACTCAGACATAAAGAAGTTTTAAATACATAATTATACTCAATAGTCTCAATTAAACTCAACTCAAATAAATATCTGGAAATACTTAATGAAGTATAAGTAATAGTTCTCAAGATCTCAAAACAGAAAGAAACATACTGAGAGACCCATCAACTCTAACTATCTATGAAGCCTCTAATACTAGGATAAATGTCAGGACAAGACCCACAATAACTCAACAATAAAAAAATAAATGTGAAATCATCCAAGAAAGCAAGGAGGCTCACCAAAGCTATCTTAAGTGCAAAGTGATCTCAACGATACGCATGTTGATGATCCTAAACACATGTATCTACATCATATAAAGATGCAAGTAGAATTCCATATGTATATTTGAATGTACGAGTATGTAATATAGTAGAGGCAAAATAACTGAAAGAAAGGACCGCAATAAGTATAACATAAAATCAACTGAATGTAAAGAATTAAAGAAATGAAACCATTTAACTTTACAGAATACTTTCTCATTCTCTGAACTTTAACATAATAAGTGATATATAAAAATGCACTTTAACTCTATTGGGAGATTCTCTAACCGACAACCATCACTATGAGCTAAGTGATGACGCATCGTCTTGTCCACGCTGCCAGAACTATCTTATATCATGCCGGGATATAGAACACATCAACTAAGTGGATCTACTAAGCTTTGTCCAAAGGCACTAAGGATACATAAAAAGTATGATCTTGTACCCATTTTGGCAAGACATGGTTTATGGGGGCTGTGAGTTGTTTGAACTCTCCCTCATATCGGTGCTCAATACTACTCCCAATAATTTGTACTCTTGCTCAAATATATAAAAACATTACTCTTTCTCTGGTTTGAGATAATTTCTCTTACTATCCTTTTAAAAGAGGTAACTGCTCTGAAATGTCTCTGAAACTCATTGTTAATTTAGAAAACAAGTTTTCTCTTTGCTTAATGTAAAAATACATTATGGATTGAGATAATTACTCAAAAAGGCCTCTTTAAGAGGTAACTGCTATGTACTTAATCTTTATGAAAAATCTTTTAACTTTTCTAAAAAAAATCTACTCTTTTCTTCATGTAAAGATGAAACATATGGGAAATACTTAGTTCCCTTGTACTCTTTCTCAAACTCCTCTTTGCTTCCTCAAAATTCAGTTTAAAGAACAATATTTTGTTTAAAAGATTCTCAACAAGAATTCAATGAATACTCAAGGATAAGGTTCATGCTAAGAAATGGACATGAACAATCAACTCAATAATCGCAATACACAATGTATAACAATTCAATGATTAGAAATAGAAATTCAATAATCAACAACTCAAGAACTTAGAACTCAATATCAACTCATCTTAAGAATACTCAAATCTAAGGATAGAACCCTAGATTACTCTTTTATTGGTTTGGAAGTAGATGTAGGGCATAAGGATGAACTAGTCCAACACTATGATAGTCTTACATACCTGGAAGAACGAAATTATTTGGTGAAATCGAAGAAACTTGAAGAACGCTTAAACCCTTGTTTTTCTCCTCTTGGGACCTTACTCGATTGCCTTGAGGTGTTAATGAATGTAAAAGAACTTATTAACACTTTCTAAGCCCTTAATTAGGTGCAATCATGGTTTAGGCTTACAATAAGAGTTAAAACGATGTAGTTTAAGTACCAAACACATAGGGGGAAAGACCAAAATGACCACAACTTTTAAAACTAAAAACGTGCCACAAATGTGATGTTTCACGGACCATATGAAGCTTCACGGTCCGTGAAACTCTTCACTAGCTGTTTAGTGGGTCGTCAAGTTGCACCTTCCGGACATGGCTTCACTAAAATAGGCATACCTTCTTGCTCTGAATTTGAAATGAGGAAAATTTGGTGGCATTGGAAAGAGGACTCAAAGACTTTAAATTTGATAGGTCATGGGCCACATAATTCATTTTTTTGGAGAGATATTATTGTTTGAATTTGACCCAAAACTTAATTGGTGAATCCCTCTCACGAACAACTTCACGGTCTGAGTGAAGCTTCACGAACCGTCCAAGTGTCCACGAACCTTCATGGGAGTTGGGTGAAGCTTCAGGGGCGGGGTGACGGGTCATGAACCTCTTTACGGCCCGTGAACCCATCCATGGAACTGCCTTTTCTCTTTTCCATTTCAAGTTTAAATTTCTGAGGTGTCACAATATCTCCCCCTTGGGAACCTTCGTCCTCAAATGAGGCCAAACTAAGCATGAAAGGGGTGGGAAAGTGTCTAACAACCCAACACAGCACAAAACATGCAAATAGCATAAACTTCAACTCATCAACTTAAATAGTACTTTACAAAGAGTTAGTACTTTGGTCTAGAATTGATTCAGAGGAAAAGAGGTGAGGGTATCTCTTCTACATATCCTCTTCGGCTTTCGAAGTAGCTTCTTCAACAAATTGGTTCCTCCACAAGACTTTGGCTGATGCAACCTCTTTAGTTCTCAACTTGCAAACCTGAAGATCAAGGATCTGAACTGGAATCTCCTCATAGGACAGAGTGTCCTTTACTCCAATACTCTCAGTAGGCACAATAAGCGCAGGATCACCCATGCACTTCTTTAGCATAGAAATATGTAACACTGGATGGACTGCTGCTAATTCGGATGGTAGCTCCAACTCATAAGCTACATTACCAATCCTCTTGGTTATCTGATAAGGACCAATGTATCGGGGACTAAGCTTTTCTTTCTTAACAAACCTCATAACACCCTTCATGGGTGAAACTTTCATATATACCTAATCATTATCCTCAAACTCCAAATCTCTCCTTCTAACATCAGTATGTGATTTCTGACAACTATGCACTATTTTCAACCTCTCCTAATCTGTTTTCACCTTCTCCATGGTTTGAACTTTGATGAACCAAATCTGGTCCTATCAACTCAGCCTCGCCAACCTCAAACCAGCCAATAGGATATCAATACCATTGCTCATATAGAGCCTCATAATGAGCCATCTGTATGTTGGAATGGTAACTATTTTTGTATGCAAACCCAATAAAAGGCTAGTGGTCATCCTAATTACCTTTGAAATCCAAACCAAAAGCTCTCAACATGTCCTCTAAGGTCTGAATTGTGCGCTCTTCTTGACCATCGGTCTGAAGATGAAAGGCAGTACTAAGGTTCACTTCGAACCCAAACCTCTCTGAAACGACTTCCAAAACTGTGCAGTAAACTAAGCACTTCTATCTGAAATGATGGACAAGGGAATTCCATGCAGTCAGACAATATCCCGAATGTACATATTTGCATACTCTTCTTCTGTATTGGTAGTCTTTATCGGTAAGAAGTAGACTAATTTGGTCATTCTATCCACAATCACCCAAATGGAATCATGTTGTCTACGAGATCATGGTAAACCAGTAATCAAATTCATATTAATCATTTCCCACTTCCATTTCGGAAGGGGTATATTCTGAGCTACTCTACATGTTCTTTGATGCTTAACCTTGACTTGCTGGCTATTTGGGCAATTAGAAATAAATTGGCAGTGCATATTTTCATGCCACTTCACAAATAAACTTCTCTCAAGTCATGGTACATCTTGGTAGCACCCGGATTAATCGAATATCGAGAACTATGGGCTTCTTCCATGATTCTCTTTGGGAGTTCATCCATAGTTGGAACACACATCTTACCTTGATACCTCAACACACCATCTCTCCTTGTGCAAAAATCATCACTTTTTGCTTATGCACATTTGCCTTCAACTCTAGTAAAATAGGATCCTTGTCATGTTTCTCCTTCACTTCTAACACATGAGAATTCGGCCCCATTCATCACGGCCACTCCGCCTTCACTAGAATCTATCAAACAGAATCCCAAAAACGTGCAAGTCTGTGAACTACCTTAGCAAATTCTTTCTTACCTTCTTCGAAATGAGCAATACTCCCATGGACAACCTGCTCAAGGCATAAAAAACAGCATTAGCCTTACCTGGATGGTATAGAATACTCATATCATAATCTTTGAGTAATTCTAGCCATCTCCTTTGTCGAAGATTTAACTCCTTCTGACTGAAAACATACTAGAGGCTCTTGTGGTCTATGAACACACCCACGTGAACGCCATAGATATAGTCACGTTATATCTTGAGATCAAAAAATACTGCTACCATCATGGGTTGAATAGTTCTTTTCATGAATCTTAAGTTGTCTAGAGGCATAGGCTATAACCTTACCATTTTGCATTAACACAAAACCAAGTCATACGCTGGACGCATCACAATAAACAACAAAACCCTCTGTACTCTCTGGTAGGGTCAACTCTAGTGCAGTGGTTAACCGAGTTTACAATTCCTGAAAGCTTTTCTTTTCAATTGAACTTTCAAATTTCTAAGGTGTAACAATATCTCTCCCTTGGAAACATTCTTCCTCAAATGACACTCAAGCTAGCATGCATAGAATAGGGAAAGATATCTAACAACCCAACATGAATGCAAATCACATCAAAATGCATAAAACCAAGGAGTAATCAACCCCACTGAAACATGAACTTAAAAATTGATTTCATGAATATACATGCATATGGAAACACATTAATAACTAAAACGTATGAATCCAAAAGAGAACATATGAGGAATTAATACCTCAAGATAAAACTAGAATGGAGGGAATGATACAGGGGTACTTGGACATCATATTAGATTTGGTCTCCAAAGTAGCACCCTCGACTAATTGATTCCTCCACAGGACTTTCACAGAAGCAATTTTTTTATTTCTCAACTTTCAGACTTGACAATCCAATATCTCAATCGAAACCTCTTCATAAGAAAGACTTTTCTTAATTACAACACTCTCCAATGGCACCACCATAGTAGGATAACCAATACACTTCTTTGATAACAAAATATGAAACAACGGATGCACCGATGCAAAATCAGAAGGAAAATCCAACTCATAGGCTACTTTGGTGAAACGCCTCAAAATATGATATGGGCCTACATAACGGAGACTAAGTTTCTCTTTCTTCTCAAATTTTGACCAATTTTCAACCTCTCTCTAATAAATAGAACCTTCGTTATAGCCTCGTACACTAACTCGAGCCCTATCAAAGCGACCTCTCCAACTTCGAACCAACCAATAGGATACTTATACCTCATATCATAGAGAGCCTAAAATGGAGTCATTTGGATACTCAAGTGATAACTGTTATTATAAGCAAACTCGATCAAAGACAAATGATCATCTAAATTACCCTTGAAGTTGATAACTCAAGCTCTTAATATATTTTCAAAGGTATGAATAGTACACTAGGCTTGACTATCTGTCTAAGGAGGAAAAGTCGTACTAAGCTTCACTTGAGTACCAAGACCCTTCTGAAATGACCTCCAAAATAGAGAAGTAAACTAAGTAACTCGATCTGAAATGATCGATAAAGCCACTCCATGCAACTTTACCATCTCTCCAATATAGAGTTTTCATAGCCCACGGCTAAAAAAGGAGGTCTTCACGGGAAGAAAATGTGTTGACTTAGTCAGTCGTCTAAAACATTCCATATAGGATCATATTGTCCGTAAGTACGAGTTAAACCTGTAACGAAGTCCATATTTAAATCTTCTTATTTCCAAGTAGCAATGTCAATGTCTTGAGTCAAACCTCCCAGTTTTTAATGCTAAACTTTCACTTGTTAACAATTAGGACATATTGATGTAAAATGGATTACATCAAGGCCATTTACGAAAATCCAGGCTCAAGACCTTCAAAGGATGCAGGGGATATTCATGAAGATGGAGGAGCTTGAGATGGTATTGACAACAAACAAGGGATTTCACGCCTTGAAAGTTGCAGCTGGACATTTTGGCGAGCTAGAGCCAATCGGCGGATCGCCCAAGCCACTAGGTGATGATCGCAGCTTGCCCTTTTATACAGAACGTGTCTAAGCTGAACAACCTCGCAGGGAAACTCGCCGACCAGGTCGGCGCATCACCCATCCCACTTGGCTCGCCCGACTTGGCTCGCCCTTTGTCATTCCGGGTCACTTTTGGGCCTTTATCTTAGGCCTATAAATAGCTAGCTTGGGTTCATTTTAGACGGAGATTATTTTGATGTTAAAAACTGACAACTCATGTTTGAGTGTTCAGAGGTTGGTTAATCTTGTGTTGCCTTTGGTTAGAAACGTTGGTTTCTTGGGATATTGATTCCCTTGAGGTCATCGTAAGAGTTAGGTGCTTATTGTAGGATCAACGAATCGAGGTCATTGAGTTTAATATACCCTTTGTTGCTTTTTGTTTCCTCTTTTTGTGTCTATCTATTTATCTTTATTTTCCGTCTTTGATTTCCGTATTAGATTGTATTTCTTCTTGTGAGAATTACATCATTTGGTATCAGAGCCAAGCCTAGCTTCATTCCCACGAATCTAGTCTTGGGGTTTTGTTACAATTTTTTTTTCTTCATTTTCGTTTTTGTGAATTTACTGAAATGGGTTTCTTAGATTTGAGTCTTGTTTGAGTTTCTAAGGTTGGAATAGTGTTCTCCAACCCTATTTGAGTCTTAGGCTGAGATTGGAAGGAGTTTGGAGGCTTGTTGAAGAATCCACCATTGAAGACTTGAAGAAGCTTGAAGAAGACAAAGTGGGTTTTAAAATTTGAAGGATTTGGTTTGGAATTGAAGGTTAAAAAGTATTGGGTGTTGTTCCCCACATCAAGGAGAGCCTTCACCTAAAAAGTATTGGGTCCTTATCTTGTTCTTGAAGTCTTAAAGAGTATTCAAATCTTCAAAGGGAAGAACATTTGAAAAGAAGGGGTTTGATCCAAAAGGGGAAGAAAGAGAAAGAGTAAAAGTGTTTATTAAAGGGGAATTTACTAAAAGGTGCAAGCACTAAAGGACTAAAGGACAAGAGCAGGGGGGACCACTAGATTCCAAATTTCAGAATATTGAAGGAGTGCAGAGGGTCTATTGGGCGAGCTAATTCGGGCCTCGCCTAACCATTTGGCGCCTCGCCCTTTGGGCAGGTAGCTCGCCGAATTGGCTACCCATTTGAGGGAGCTACTAGAACTTTCGGCGAGATCACCCTTGGTCGCCGAACTTCCCCTCATATCGCCGAGTTGCCTTGTCCGTTTGTTGAGTTTGGCGAGTCCATCTTCAAGAAAAAGTTTTGAAGCCTATCATGACGAGTTCCAAAACATAGTCATGAAGCTAGAATATAGAGAAATTGAAGAGCATGCCGTCATTCGCTTCAAGGTAGGTTTGAACAAAGAGAATTTTTCTAAGATGACCCTTCTTAGGTTTGCTACTTTGAATGATGCCTTTGAGGCCGCCCATAAGATAGAGCTAGAATTCAAGGAGGAGAAGGTGTCTAAGTTTGAGACTTCATCTTCCAACTCTTGGGTCAAGAACAAAGGGGGATCTCAAACATCGTCGGGTTGGAACAAGAGTTCGGATGCCAAGAAGCCGTATGAGAAGAAACCCTTCGAAGGAAACACTCCAAGGTACCTGCCTAGAGACAAAGGTACCACTGATCCAACCAAGTTCCCTAAAGGAATTTAATGTCACAAATATAGAGGATGGGGTCATATAATGTGTGAGTATCCTAATCGATTGATCGCCCTGATTCAAGGAGGGGAAATATATCTTAGTATTGAGGAAAATCCTGCAAGTGATGGTGAAGAAGATCCTCAAGAAGAGGATGAGTTCGAAGATGAGGAAGATGTGGAACCGGATCTTTGTGTCAAAGAAGGAGAGAGTGTCGCTCCTTTATACTTGGTGAGGTGAGCAACGGTTAGTAAGGCCTTGGATGATCCAAGCCAAAGAAAAATCTATTTTGCTCCAAGTGCTTCATCAAGAATAATGTGTGTTCCTTCATCATTGATAGTGGGAGTTGTGCAAATGTTGCTAGTACTGCATTAATGGAATTCTTAAAACTTCCTACCACTAAGCATGCTACACCTTACAAACTTCAGTGGTTGAGTGAGTGTGGAGAATTGAGAGTGCATCGACAAGTGACGATCAAGTTTAAGATTGAGAAGTATCAAGATGAGGTTCTATGTGATGTGGTCCCAATGCAAGCTTGTCATGTGCTACTCGGGAGACCTTGGCAACATGATTGTTCGACCAAACAGGATGGGAGAACAAACAAATATTCACTTGTGTTGAATGATCATAAATATGTTCTTCACCCTATGTCCCCCTCTCAAGTCAATGATATATATAAAAGGATGAGTGAGTCAGAAGGAAGTGAAGAAGTGTGAAGAGGAGCATGTGGAGGCCGAGGGCCAATAAGAAGAGGAAAGGAGGAAGTTGAAAGGAAAGGGCCAAGTATTGTTGGCAAATTACAAAGAGATAAGGGAGGAAATTGAGGCCGAAGGTTCTTTGATCCTTATCACACATAGGGATCATGTGCTACAAACTAACCCATCTCATTATTATCTCCTCGATTCTATTTCCTTTATTTTCCAGGACTATGGGGATGTCTTCTCTAAGGAGTTTCCAATAGGATTGCCCCATCTTCGGGGAATTGAGTACCAAATTAATTTCATGCCGGGATCACAATTGCCAAACAAGCCAGCTTATCCAAGCGATCTGGAGGACACCAAGGAGCTACAAAGGCAAGTTGAGGAACTCCTCAACAAAGGCTATGTGAAGGAGAGCATGAGTCCATGTGTCGTGCCGGTTCTATTGGTTCGAAAGAGAGATGGAACATGGCACATGTGTGTCGATTGCCCAGCCATCAACAAAATTACGGTAAAGTATCATCATCCTATTCCTAGGTTAGATGATTTTCTTGATGAATTGAATGGATTTTGTGTGTTTTCAAATATTAATCTTAGGAGTGGTTATCATCAAATCCGGATAAACCCCGCTGATGAATGGAAAACCGCATTCAAGACCAAGTTTGGTCTATATGAATGGTTGGTGATGCCATTTGGTCTCACTAATGCTCCTAGTACCTTTATGCGTCTCATGAATCATGTGATGAAACCCTTTATAACCCTTTATAGGGAAATTTGTGGGTGTTTATTTTGATGATATGTTGATTTATAGAAAGACCATGCATGATCATGTTGGGCATTTGAGATGTGTGTTTGATGTGCTTAGGAAGGAACAACTTTATGCTAATCTTGATAAGTGTTC